TGTCTTTGGGAAAAGAATTTTTCGTTGATTTTCTTTTCCTGTGGCAGTAATAAGTACCAATTATTTTCTTAGAGATGTGAAGTTCCTTTTTTATACTCACTGTCAGTCACTCTCTTTCACAATACTCCATAGTGCATCAAAGAATAATTCTAGCTGAATTTAAAACTAAAGATGACCAGATAGAGAAAAGGGTTGCTGGAGATTATTGTGTTTCACTAGTCCTTTCCATTTTAATGAACACTACTGAAGATGAACTTCTGGCTAATGTACTTTTATCTGAGGCTCTGATTTATCAAGATCATAGATCAACGGGAATAGTTATTACATCCACTATGAGAAAAATGCCTTGGAACACTCCGCTTCTCAAAACCAAATACAGAGAAGTATTTCTTAAAAATGCCACAGTTTAGTATGGACAGTTGCATACAGAAAGACATTTGGTCTAGCAAACACATAGCAAGGTGCTCTTTTTGTACTCTTCTGTATTTTGCTTATATTATGTCAGATATAACATGAATGTTAAATATGTGTCAGCTAAAACTGAGAAGGATTTTAATTTAAATTTCTTTTAATTGGCATATGAACGTTTCAATTTGCATATTTAGAACATTCCTTAGATTTTAATAATCTATCCAAGGATTTTGAAATAACTCTTTTCCTTTAAGAAGTGTGGTTGAGAGTGCTTTCCTAAGGGGAAATATGGGGAAAATGAAGAAGACCAAGCAGCATAGATAATCAGGAAAGATACTTGGTGTAAAAGACTATATGACACATTAAATGAGGCCCCAGGAAAAGAATCTGCTATCTTATAATTACTTAGAAGTTCAGATGAATAATATCAGTTATTCCCCTGGTGACCAACACATTAACCGATACCAGTCTCTTGATAAACCCTCAGATGTTCTGGAGATTTAAGCAATTTGATGGGCATGTTCCTGTTCTGCCTTTCTTAATTGCTACTGACATCATCTTCAGCCTTCCCTAATATAGGCTCAGAACTTTGGGGCTATCTTTGACTTCTCCCCCTTTTTTTTTCCTTCTTTCCATATGTGGCCAGGTAGTCACCAAGTCTTACTGCATCTTACTCTACAACAAAAGGAAATTGTATCTCTTACTTTTTTAAGAATGGACAAAGCCCTTGTCCGTGCCCTAATTACTGGCATTGCTTACTAGAATTTTCTCTATGGTTTCTCTTGTACCACATGACTCCAGTTTATTTTGATCAAAACAAATAGACGCAACACTATTTTCTTCAACCAATCAGACAAACCAGGGCACATTGGAATGCCTCAAGTGGATTCCTCTTCTACACTGGTCCTTCTCACACAGCTATTCAGCAGGGGGGAAACCTAAATCTGACTAGTATTTTATCATGATTCTCTGGATCTCCAATCTTGTGATATTCATGTTTATTTTTCCAACTACAAGCTCTTCTGAGCAGAGTGCTGGAATTCAAAATCTAGTAATAAAATACAGAAAAATAAAACAAATCTATCCTTTCCCCCATCTTCCATTACCACTCCAAGATAATACTGTTATTTATGATTGGGCACTTGAAACACGGGAGGATTTTCTTCTTCCACAAATAATCCATCTTGAGTGAATAAGTCTCAATCTCAGCCAAAATGGAAATATTTTTAAAGGCCCTGAACTCTCCTACAGATTAATCATTTAAACTTATAGTAGGAAGCTGTATGTCTTCAGTCACTTGAACTTCTCAGTGATCACAGAATCTTAGCTACTCTCCCCAAGAAATTGATTGAAAATGTCATCCATTCCAGATCTAATAAATGTTACATATTGCACTTTCACCACCATCCGCATCAAATAGAATAATGCCATGAAGGTTCATGTGAGGTGACAGCTTGATATGGTGAAGCAGCCTGTTGTTACTGCTGGAATGCCTTAAACTATGGAATTTATGAGACAAGAGCATCCCAGTAATAGACCAAGTGAGGATAGTTCAGCAATAGTATTCATGTATTTCACTGTAAACTCCAATTACTGAAGAACAGGGATTCAAGGAGGATATTTACATTATTATTATTAGAGAAAAATATATGATGGATACCAATAAATGTATTTAAAATATGTACTCCCTATATCCAGTCAATTTTTAACTTTCATATGTGCATTTATTTTTGGGAGTCTAGTTTAGTGGTTAAAGCACAGGTATAGGAGACCTGAGTTATGTTCTTAGCTCTGCCACTAAGTGGTCATGTAATCTTGAACAAAATACTTAAATTTCTCTGCATTCGCTATTCTATCTATACAATAGAACTAACACTTTCTATGCTGTTGTAAATTTTAATTGAACTATAGCACCAGTACCTATGTGGTTTCTGAAAATTTTGATGTAGCTTCCAATCAAGGAAAAGCTTGATTTTTAGTGACAAAGAAAAATTCCAGTTTCATCATCAAAATATGTGACATGCCCATGTTGGTCCTCCCCTACCTACTCATACTTCTGTGTCAGACTCTGAATTCTCAACTACAGCAGTGTTACTTATCTCCAATTTAATCACATAGGCTCTTCGAACATTACTTTATTATACACATAGTTTACAATTACCTTGACCATCAGGGAAAGTGCCAATCCACTATGAAAAAAGAGAGTTATTCAGAATGCACCCCTTTCATACCCATCATTACAGAGTGGAACAAATAGCATAGTCATGGGACAGACTTATTCATCATTAAATTCAAGGTGTTTAAAGTACTCCTTAGAGATTACTCTAATCAGATAGATGGGACAGATTTAAGGGAAGGGTTTATGTTAGGATTCAGGATAGGGATGTAAGTGAGTAGTCAACTATCTGATAAGAATAAGCACAAGCATATTGGATAATTGAGTAGTGATTCGACTAGTCACTTCCCCCCCTACACCCGACTTTGGAGCCTTTATCAGACAGAGGCAGCAAGGAGGGGAGCAGGAGCCAGTGCTGGGGGGAGCTGACTTAAAAGCTGGTTCCCCGCAGCACCATCTCCGTGGGAGGCAGGGGAGGGAGAAGCACGCTTGTGCCACTTCTGCTGCAGTTCTGCTCCTGTACATTTCAAAGACCGAAGCTCTACTGGGGCTCTTGCTACATTTCAAAGGCAGAGGCTCCCTTATAGACTAATTGAATAGCTGATGGAAATTCCATCAACTATTCAATTGGTTAATCTAAACTTAACATCCCTAATGCACAACAGTTGGGAAATGGGCTGGGGCTCCTAGATGCAGCTTGCAATTTGTCCCCAAAGGTGAATTGGTGAAGCATAGGGATCTTCATAAAGAACTTGCCTTTCAGAGGTGTGGCGCGCCTGTCACTCCCTTTAACTCCTGGGATAGTTGGGACTGATCTGCATCTCTGCAAAATAGGCTCATAAAGGGCACCTGGCCAGATTTCCTCTCCCAGCAGTAAATCATCAATCATCCTTAGTATAAATCCACTGACTTGGTGAGCTGAAGAGGAAAATGTCACCCCGGATCTAAGTGATGTGGCTGGTTATTGCTCTGTGCCTGTGTTGTAAATAACAAGCTTTTCTGGTTAATGATGAACTCTGATATATGATATTATCCTGCACCCACTCCAGCAGAAAGCATGTCTCTGAAACAGCATTGTGAGCTATTGCTGTGGTTAACAGATCCTTGTGCTGTGCCCAACCTGGGCAAAGCACATGAAATGGCATCTCCCATGCCTAGTGTGCCAATACTCATTCCAAAACCGCTCTCCCCAAGAGCTCGGTATTTGGAAAGGGGACATGATACACCTGTGTAGTTTTCTGTAGTTCCTTATTTAGTCTATGTAAGGACACTCTGCATTGTCCTGATGTACAATTATTGATTGTAAATCACACCCATGTATAAAAAGCCCATGTGCTGCCCAGGTCATGTCTGTGCAAACTACAGGACAGTCCAAGCAAGGCAGCAGCCTGTGAGCAAGCGTGTGTGGCCAGAATAGGGACCGTGGGTGCCGTTGCAGCCTTCGCATCCTCTGGTCCCCGCGTACGGGCCGGCCTTCGTACTTGCCACCTTCCCAGGCAGCGTGAGTCGCCCTCAGCACGTGGTCCCTCTCCAGGCCCGTTTGCTGGCTGCTAGGCCGAGCCAGACTTCTCCCCTGCTCCTCAGACTACCGGCCCCAGCCGCCCTTGAGCTGCGTCATGCCAATCACAAGCGAGGCGGCCGCGCACAGGCTGCTGGGGCTTGTAGGCGGCCGCTTTCCCTTCGGGGCTGTGGAGAGGAGGAGACGGGCGGGCC